GACAGATTCTTCTCAGGGCCTTGGATGACATTGATTCAGTCGAAATGGAGACTCTGCTTGATCTCCTTGATGTCCATGAGTGTCACCAGGTGCCAAATAAAGATAATCTTGTCCCATTACTCTCACAAATGGGTCATAAGTCTATAGTCCAAGCACCAATGTACATCATTGAATGCTGGCGCCCCGTAGTTGATACCTTAGCCCGCACTCTCCCGATCGATGAGCTGCATAAACTGTTAGAGCAAAAAAAACCAACTTCGAAGGCCGTGAAGGAGCTTCTCCAGTTCCCAGATGTGATGACCGCAACACAGCATGCAGTTGCTCGCCATCTGAAACGTTACATTGTGGAAGCTGACCATCAAACTTTACAAAACTTCCTGAGGTTTTGCACTGGCTCAAATTTGGTTGGGCATTCCATTAAGGTTGAGTTTACTGAAACATCTGATTTTCAGCGCAGGCCTCAGGCTCACACATGTGGGTGCATTCTTAAATTGCCTGTTGGTTACTACAATTACCCAGACCTCAGGAATGATTTTAATAGTGTGCTGACTAGTTCTGTGTGGGTAATGGATATAGTGTAGATTGTCTCATCAGCTACATAATGTCAGTTTGCAGTTCTCAATAGTTTGGTTAGCTTTTTGAAGGAAGGCAGTTGGTAAGCTGTTCTGATACTAAATAACTCAGGTTATTTATTTGTTAAATAATAATAAGTAAACTGAATATGTGCAAAACATTTTATTTTTCAATGACACATTTTGTAAACATTCCTGGATAAAACAGGTGTCAACTTTCTTAAGTTCTTGCACAAGTGTTTAAAACAAGCAGTTGTGAATAACACATTTACAGGTTTTAGTCTAGTAAAGAAACAACAAATCTTATTTTGTTTTATTATGCCTAAAAATATTTTTTTTTCTGAACCATGTGCAATGTTTTACATATGGGCAGATGTTGTTTTCAATTAAGAGCAAACATTTTTAACAGGGTTCTTTATATATTTAGTATGCCCTGTATTCCTTGTCATGATGAGGAACTGTTACTTGTTCAACTGAAAAGCAGCGCGTTTTAAACAATAAATGTTGTTTTTGCAGAAGTCATCTTATGTGTACTGTGCTTTTTATTACTGTTTTTAAGCTGGGGGATACATTATGTGTTCAAAATAAATAGATTCAGATCCTAGGCTAATTTTCTTCAGATTTGCTGTAAACACAGGTGAAAGAGATGTGTTTGTCTCTCTCTACAGCCACCTACTCAATTAGTAGTGGACGAACAAAGTCCCTCAAAGTAATGTACAATTCCTGTGCCTGTGGACAGTTTGAAGAAAACTCCAATCCCCTCTCCAACATCACATTTGCGCAAAAATCAAATATTTCAGGATTGCATGGAACAGAACTTAAGAATGTGCAGTTTTCCTTACATACAGCTAAATCGTCTGCATTAACAGGCACGAGAAGATCATCAGCTCCCCACAAATGTGATGCCACATACATCAGATCAGGTATGCCAGACGGCACACTCGCGTTTGTAGAGGGGCGGATGCGATGTGCGTTCCAGATGTTCATGATGCTGTTTAACTCGTCCTGAAAAAAGGAAATATACATAGGTCAGTGATATTTAGAATCCCAAGAAAAATGTTTTGATGAAAGAAATGTGCCGTATTTTCACAACTATAAGGCGCACATCAACTAGGGTGACCATATTTTCATTTGGGAAAACCAGGACACCTTGGAGCGGGGGGTTTGATTGAAAGAACAAATGTCTCATCATCGGGATTTGCTCCGTGATGAGAGGAAATGTTACTTGTTACTAGTTGTTTTAATGGTTATAGAGTCAGATATGTGGCGGTAATGTTTGGTTTATCTAAAGGTTTTTATCTGTTACTGTGTAAATGAGTTTGGCTGTAATTTAAGGACAGATTCTAAGAAATCTGCAGAGTGGGAACTATAAATCTGATAGGAGTTTAATTTTTTTATTGTTTTGCACAATATGCTTAACTAAGTATTTTTTGTTGTTGAATATTAGAGATTTTGCAGATACATTTTGTAGGTACATTGTTTAGATTTAGTTATATCTCTCTACCCCTTTTATAGAATAGAATAGAATAGAAAATCCCTTTATTGTCCCACAATGGGCAAATTTACAGCAGCAGAAAGATTATTGAAAATGGTCACACAAATGAGGACCTTAGAAAAATGTATAAGAATAACATAATAGGGAAGGGTTAAAATATAAAAAATAAAATTCTGTAAAGTGTTTTAACAATATAAAACTGGAGAATAAATAACCAATATGCAGCTATGGACATTTTTACAGTAATGGATATTTGAAAATAGCAGCAACATCAGAGATGTGCAGAATGACAGCAGCAGGTTATTTAACTGACTAAGGTTTCTATCATTACATTTGATTTGATTTGTTCCTGCTCCCGGCTGTTGGACCTTTATTCCACTCTGGATTCTTGTGAGTGTAGTCTTTGTTCACTTTAACTTTTTAAAAAATAAATAAACAAACAGTTTTGAAAAGCTCGGTATTCATTCTTTTCCTGCTTTGTGTGTCACCTTTCACGGTTGCTAAGCAACAAAGCATACGGCGGTGAAACCCGCTGAAGGGTGGACCTGTTCGAATTTACAGCCAAAACTCTTCCAGTCTCCTTATTTTCAAGGACTTTGAATGATCCAGTCTAGGTAGACCGCGTCCTTGGAGGATGCAGCCCAGGATTTCGAACAGAGCCTCTGATTAAGAACAGGGCTGCCCGCACTGACGCGGCTCAGGGATTACGTCACACGGAGCGTTGTGCGCAGTGAAATCAGGACATTTCCTTACTTTCTAAAAAAAAAAAAAACCCGGGACAGGACGTGAAATACGGATATGTCCCGGGAAATACGGACGTTTAGTCACCCTAATATTTTCGCCTCAAAATGTGCGGTGCGCCCTATGTGTGTTGTAACTGCGACTTTTGAGACCACCTCATTGAGGAGATGATGAAAGAGTGGCTGAGGGAGGTCTATGTGAGGAGACCAGGTGGTTTTTTTTCACTCATCACAATCGCTGTTAATCTGACTCCATGCGTGCCCATCTCACAGCTGATGTGAACGCGCTGCTGCAGCGAGAGATGGAAAAATTGAAGTTTTGCTGCTGGACGCGCCGCATCAACCGTTTTTCATCTAAAGAATATAAATCTTGCAGCTATATTTGCTGTGATCAGTGGGAGTAAAGTAGTTTTAATATGTATTTAAGATGCGCAGTAAAACAAAATCACTTCGGACGGTGAAAACTTTCCTTTACAAACAATGAAGATGCTCTCTATCTCTAGGCTATTCCGTCCCTCTCTTTATTTATATCAGAGGTTATCTAATATATTACTGTGCATTCATTAGCCTACTTACCTTAATGGGTCCCATGAAACACAGCTGGATTAACGCCTTGTCCAGATAGTCCCCTGTGAAAAGACCTTCATCCTTCAGCTCGCTAAACATCTGGATCCAGTAATCAATTCCTTGTCTTCTCATCACTCCCCACCAACTTTCTATTCTTTGGTTAGCAGTGCTTTCTCCTGTTAAAAAACTTGATTGTCCTGCTCTATTGTCTTCATCATTCCGTCTCAAGTACACCTGCATGTCTCTCAAGACCACATTCTCGGTTCCCATGTCAGTGCGCAAAAGTCTGGGATAGCCCCCCATCCTTTCTATCGCCTCTGCATAGTAGCCCCCAACCACACATGGATCACTATTTGTAAAGGCGGCCCTGAGCCAAATAATCTTTCTGCTATATCCATCAATGCAACCATTTATGCATATGCCATAAGGCTTGAGCTTGTCATAAGAATCGATGTGCCATATGAAATTAGGCCCACGGGAAAAGTATTGTCTGCGTCTCAGTCGTCGTCTGCGGCGGGACTGAGCGCTTTCAGGGTCAACTGCGCTGAGAATGATGCGCACATCTTCTTTTCTCACGCGCAAACCATGTTCTATACATTTATAGTACATCCAGCGGTACCCATGTAACCTCCCAGAGCCTTGGAGTTCGTTCAAAATGAACTCTATAATATGACCTAAATCGTCATACTCACGACGGCGGAGACGGTTCGCCCTCAGCATCCTTTTTAATGTGCTTAAACTCATAACCATCCCATGCTGGGTGGCTAGAGTTCTCAATATTTCCTTATATGCCATGCCCAAACCATGGTATATCCTGACCAGATCCATCTCAAAGGCTACGAAACGGAAATGTAATCTATTCGACCAGGAGTTTCCACTATCTTCTGGATTGATTACTATAGCCTTTTTGTGCACACAATTTATTCGAGCGCACGTTTTAATTACTCGTGGGTGCGTTTTAGTAGATCGAGATCTCGAATATACTATAACGTGCTCATGTTTACATGTGCCAAGACAATATTGAGTGCACGTTTTACATATTGCTGCCACGTTTAAGTAGATCGTGCACACAATGTTCTATAACCATGTTCACTAAATTGTGCTCTCGTTTTAATAAATTGTGCGCTCGTTTTAGTAAATCGTGCGCTCGTTTGAGTAAATAGTGCACTCGTTTAATAAATTGTGCCCTCGTTTTACTATGCTTAAAATGAGAGCTCAATTTAGTAAAATGAGCTCACACTATAGTAAAACGAGAGCACTATATTATAAATTGTGCCCTCGTTTTACTATGCTTAAAATGAGAGCTCAATTTAGTAAAATGAGCTCACACTATAGTAAAACGAGAGCACTATATAGTAAATTGTGCACACGATTTAGTAAAACGAGGGCACAATATAGTAAAACGAGGGCACAATATAGTTAAACGAGCGCACAATGTAGTAAAACGAGCGCACATTCTCTCAACATGCAAAACTTTTTGCGATGACCCCTCTAGGGCTCCGTATGTAACTGTGTTTTGCCGCTTGCAGTTTTGTCTTTGCACTTGTACAAGTGTTTCCGAACGGTCAATTTTTTTAGATGTAAATTTGTTTCCCTATAATGTATTTTTTTTCTCTAAAATGAAACTTTCTCTCACCTAAAATCTAACTTATTTAAAATGTGAATTTGTTTCCTAAAATGTAAATTTGTTTGCTAAAATGTAAATTTGTTTTTAAAAATTTTAACTTTTTTTTCCAAAAATACATTTGTTTCATAAAATATAATTTTGTTTCTTCAAATGTTATTTTGTTTTTTATTTGTTAATGTGTTTTTGAATTGTAAATGTGTTTTGCACTTCTCAGCCACCGTAATGGAGGGACGCTCAGACCTATACAAGCTAGACAAGCACCCTGACTGCCATTAGGTATCGCGATGAAATCCTTGCACCCATTCACAGATCCTATGCTGGTGCAGTGGATCCTGGGTTCCTCCTGGTGCACGACAATGCCCGGCCTCATGTGGCAAGAGTATGCAGGCAGTTCCTGGAGGATGAAGGAATTGATACCATTGATTGGCCCCCACACTCGCCTGACCTTAATCCAATAGAACACCTCTGGGACATTATGTTTCGATCCATCCGACGCCGCAAGGTTGCAACTCAGACTTTCCAGGAGCTCAGAGATGCCCTGGTCCAGATCTGGGAGGAGATACCCCAGGATGCCATCCGTCGTCTCATTAGGAGCATGCACCGACCTTTTCAGGCATGCATACATGCATGTGGGGGCCATACAGATTACTGAATACCATTTTGAGTTGCTGCAATGGAAATTCAGCAAAATAGAATAGCCTGCCGCATAATTTTTTCACTGCAATTTCTGGGGTGTCTTTGAATTCAGCCCTCTGTTGGTTGAAAATCTTCATTTCCATCAAATGATGTGGCATCCTTTTGTTCCTAACAGATCACCCAGTCCATATCAGTTTAAATAAACAGCATGACTTTTTCCCCATTAAGATTTGATGTGTTTTCAAAGTGTTCCTTTAATTTTTTGAGCACTGTATATGGTAATGAAACATATTCATGAGCTGCCTAGCAGGTAGTAAACCCACTACCAAGGGCACAGGTGTGTTTATATGTAAACTTATACCTGAAAAGGGGGATAATTGAATAAATGAGCCACAGACATGTTCTTTCCACTGCTCTAACATGTTGGCTGAGGAGAAAGTTCCAGTTCTCTTTGGTATGGCATACTTGTGCTAGGCTGCCCCTGATGGTCATATAAGGCACTGCATGTACTAAGGCAAATAGACCATGACTGCGTACTTAAACCAAATTGCTGTTAAAAAAAATGTATATATTTATATAAAAAAATAACTTTCAAATTTGTAAAATCAGACATTTTATGTTTGTAAAACATAAAATGTGCAAATATAACCAGTAACAGTAAATACACCTGACTTATGCTACATTCACACAGGAAGCAACAGGCTCCCAGCATCACTTTGTTTACATGCAAAGTCAATGGTTGACGCGCCTCAAGGCGCAGCAAAAGGTCCCGCAGCGGGTTTTGAGCAGCAGGCGCAGCGCGTCTGAGCAGCTGAAGCAGCGGGTGCGTGTGAGGCGCGCAACGCGCTGCTGCTCAAGATGGAAAAATTTAACTTTTGCTGCTCGACTCGCCGCATCAACCAATCAGAGAAGCTGATCTGGGAGCTGGCTGGGAGACAGACACATCGCTGATAATACAGAGTGCTGTGATCACTCCTCTGAAACAGTTTATTAACACGTAAATTAACTTAAAATGCTGAAACCTGCCTACAAAGCGTGTTCGCTTTTATTATCCAGGTACCTGCAGTTTGGATTATGTACATGAAAACCACCTTCCAGCCGCCACGTCGAACCGTGAGGAGGCGACCGGGCCATAGGCTGCTGTTGAATGGGATTCCTACTCACAGCGCTTGTATGTGGGGGTCTGAGCGGCTCCGACAGAAATAATATTGGAAGGCAGGATGGTAATCCGGATAAACTGACTGCACTGATTATTGCATTCACTGCACATGAATCTTATTCATGTGCAGTGAATGCAAATGCTACTACAACAACTATTATATCTACTACTACCACTATTGGCCTGTTAGTACTACTAGTACTTCTACTAATATTTACAAAAACTACTCATATTGCTATATATTATATTTTTATTGTTGTCATTATTATCATAATCATCATCATCATTATTATCATTATTATTATTATTATTATGCCCAAATAAAGTCCTTAGAAAACATCATTCAGGATCAAATAGATTCTTTATTTCCTCTGTCAACTAATGCATCAGTTCCAATCATTTCAAAAAGTGTTTCTCTGAAGTCTCAAAAGATGAAGGTTGTGGATTTAATTTCCGACACATGGTGACATTTATCTATTTAAAAAGTCTAAACCTTCTTAACAGCATTAACTGATATAAAACTATAGCCAATATATAATCTATTTGCTATAGTTTCCAACTAAAATGCTCTTTTCCCTCTCTTTCAATCCGAGGTAAATGCATAGGGCATTAATAAGGCATTCAATAAATGTTAATCAGGGAAAAAAGAAAATCTCCAGTCTAGACAGAGACTGGAAATAGAGATTCTATCTGATCAGAGGAAACTTAGATGTTTGAGTCACAAAGTTGAAATTTCAACAACTAACCAGCCTTCAAGGGATACTCCAGTTTCCTCCTGTTTTAACTATTTTATTCTCCTGTTCAGATTCCTGATGTTGCCCGAGCGGCATGTTGATATCTCATCTTCTGCAGCTCTAGAGAGAGAGAGCCTGACTGCACGCGCACCGCCATCTGATTGGTCAGTTGCTGACAATCATCAGATTCCAGCTGCTCTCTTTTCTCTCCCCAATGGCCAGCGTGCATTCATTGTGCATTTTGCGCTACCGCTCGCTGAATGTGTCCCTATTGGAAGATGAGGCTCTGCGCACATAGCATGTTGAACATTTAGGGAGGAGCGGTGTGACAGATCAACTGGTGACGAGATTAATTGGTTAGAATCTATGCGCACCGCAGATGTTACTGAAGCTTAGGTAGCTGTGTTGATGCCTGGCGAAAAAAATATTCCAAAAAATCAACCGACATATTTAATGAATTAATTTCTGTTTTGTTTTATTTCTTCAGATTAGAACGATGTGGTAAAGAACTTGTATCCACAGAAAAGCAGATAGTGGAAAGAATCCCACACAGTGAACAGAGTCGTTCACAAGTGTAAAGAAAAAATACAAATAAAAGTCTGTCTCACACTGGAGTGTCATTTCTCCTGCTGAACGATAAGCTCTAAATGAAAACCTGTAGCTTGGACGATAAAGTCCGCCCACTTTATACATTCCTGAATGTAAATATGAATCCATTAAAGAGGCCTGTCATTCAGAAAGCACATGTGTAAGCAGCACCTATTTAAGAAAAACTGACTGCAAGCAGAACAATTGGGCTTCTCATCCTTCCAACTATTCCCACTTTATTTTTTGAATATTGACAAAAAGTTATTTTCTTGTTATTAGATTCCATGCTCTCATGTTTCCTTTATTCTCCTATTTGGACACAAATACAAGTCTCTACTACGGTGTTGTTGTTTTTTTTTAGTGGATCCCAAAACTCTGTCCTGTATGATGAACTGTATCAGGTAACACTAATTGTGGTTTGAGGAAAGAAACATTTAAACAAAATTTAAATCCCAGATTTAGCAGCTACCGCTACGGTGTGGGTATGAGTCGCCATGACTCCTTGATGTTTTGTCTAGTAGAAAAATGCAGATATTCTTAAACGAAGAACTAGATTAATTTGTGACAAACGGGGTCCACAGCACAGCTGTTTGAAGAGATTAGTTGGCTGCGTGGTTGCCCGATCAAAATGCCGCCAATGTAAACAAACGGGTCAGTATAAAGGTTATAATTTATCCTGGCCTAATATCTATCCAACACACGTCTGTAGTGTGTGGATAATGTGAAATATTATGAGAAATTGAAGTTTGGGGATCAAATAAACGCATCGTGAGGATCTGAAGCGTCAGAATCTGCAGTGTCACAGATTAACTTGTGATCCAGCGGGATCTGGAGGAATATGGGCTGTAAAACACTCCATCTCCTGGGATTTTGTTTGGATGTTATAATCTTATCCTCAATTAGGGTTGTAGCAGCCTACTTTAAAATTTTATCTGTTATTGTTGATTTTTTACTGTTATTGATGTTTAACTGTTATTGTTGATTATTTTTAATCATTATGAACCCGTCATGTTGTGTGACCATGTTTACACAGTCAGCTGTTATCTTATTCCCTTCAATTGTTTTGAGGACGCCACATTATTTGGTTTGCATGCAGAACAACTTTAAATCATTCACACTTTTCAAGTTACTGGCAATAGAGTATAGTTTTGTCTACTTTTACTATTAGTTTAAATTGTTTGCTTCACTGGTACAATTAGAATGACAAAAAAGCAACTCAGCACAAAACGCTGATTGCGAGGAAATGTTTGTCATTTCAGAGTTAGGAAATAATATTATATTGCCCATCTGTGGAAAATATGTTGAAATAAAACAAGGGCATAAAGATATCTGTGGAGACGAACCCGCGGCCATACTTGCTTTTATTTGCAAGGCGTCTCTTTACCTGCCGAGCTATTGATACAAACACTCCATCTGACCCCACCTGCGATAATGAACCTGTTGGTTGTGTCTGCTCTGCCTGTTGAACAGCTGGTCTAGATCAACTGGTGACAGTTAATGCTTCAGAGTCTGCTGATCGTCTAAAACATGTTTGAATTCCAGAATATCAGATATAATTACAATTTTTTTTCCTTCTTTCCTCTTAGAACTGAATGGGGCCATCCCATAAAGAGATAGTTAGACAGTAAGTTATGCAGCGTAGCTATTAAAAGAGAAAATAATAACTAGATCTTTTTTTTTTTTCGATCCGATATCTACCGTAAAATCTCCCTATTTTATTTCTTCATTGTTTGGCAGCAGTTAGTATGGAGGCTCTGCTGCTTCTTTTAATGCTTTAGTACAGCAGGTTCTGCATTTGTTCGCCCCGATGCCCAAAATATCACATATATTCACACAATATATAAACTGAATTCAGAGATTTCACTCTTCCCCGCAGCAGGTATGTTATTTTGCTTTGTTCCTGCAACACATCTTAAACTTTAAAGACATTTATAACTCCTCTGGAAACGAGTTGGACTGTAAGTAATTAGTTTCCCTCCATATAAACAGAAAGCGCTTTTGAGAAAAAAAAAAAAAGGGAAAATTTTATTTTCGCTCATTTTAATTTACAAGACATACAGGATGACAGAAAAATGGAAAAAATACGAAGTTAGTTGTTCCCATTGACCTTTTATTGCACTGGCTGTTTTTCCTTCTCATACAGCTTTCTGTGGTTTTTCTACTCGGTTCTTTCTCTCATCGCTGAGGCTCTGAAACAAACAGATAAACAACAACAGGACAAGTTCCTCAAATCTCTGTGTGCGGGTTTGGAGAAATCCCTAAAACATGCTATATGCTTTCTTACTACAATTAAATACCTTTGTGATGGTGACTTCTTAAAATCTCAACGTATTTCATATCGATCAGATAACAAAATAATTTGTAGTTCTTGGAGTCTACACGCAGCTTACTTCCTGTTTGAGGAGAGGGCTCCTGAAAAGCCCCGCCCACAGACACATCTGCGGTTTTCCAGCTGCTGTCACCAGCTGATCTCGTCACCAGTTGATCTGTCACAGCGGCCCTGACAGAAAGCACCACAGAAACCTTCATGGGAACGGAGAGCAGAGGACCTTTGTTCCTCTACAGAACCAGAAGCAATAACCAGAAACACTGAGATTTATTGCTGCTGACAGCAAGCAGAGCAGCAGACCATAGCAGAGATCAAGGAACCATCTCTGGGAACAGAGAACCAATCACAGTTCATGTCTCTTTCTCCTCACAGAGAGAAAAAACTCACTAAGAAACAAGAAAGTTAGAATCAAATGTGATTTTACCTTTAATTTCTGACAGAAAGCTGTTTTAATCCTCCTGTTCTTCAGAGACCAAATGGATCCTGAGCTTCTGTTCCCTGTTCTTTACCTGCTTCAAGTAAACATGAGAACCAGGAAAGACTCAGCCCCTCCCACCCTCATTTACAGGAAGTCGAGTGAGTTTATCTCTGACTGGGACTGTACATGAAGCGTTCAAGGACATTCAGTAATATTCATACTCCACATTTAATGGACATATTTATCTTCAAGGAGACATAATGATGGACTTTGTTCATCAGCTGATATTTTTTTGGAGTGTTGATTAAAACTATTTCATATATTGTAGATTTATTAGATATTCAGCTGCATTAAAATCGTTTTCATCTATAGTCAGATCCTCTAGTTTTTGCTCAATTTTTCTACTATAAATCTGAATATTTCAAGTTAAAATTTTAAGTTGTATAATAAAAAATAATTTAAATTTTTTTTAAACACAACAAAAAACAAATATGTAAAATAATGATAAAGTAAATAGCAGCAGTAGGGAACCATTTGTTACCAAAATCTTTCCCATCTTCCATAAACTTTATTAATAGAAAAGCATCAAATGTCTCCTGATCTCAACAAACAGGATCTGGTTCCTTCTTCCTTCTAAATCAGTTCAGCTAAATTTAAAGAAAAGTTTGGTCCAAATCTGCCTTTGATTAAAGGTCCATGGATGTTTGTGGTCCTATTTAATCCCAAACATTGACCTGAAATATCAGTGTAAGCTATGGCGTAGGATTTGTAATGATTTATGATTGTAAAAAACAGACTTTATGTGTCGATTTTCTCTTTACGGAATGTTTTTATTGCAAATATGCTGAATTACTTTTTATCTGTGGACGCTTACGGACAAATGGAATATAAACAATCTAAGATTGGATTTATAATACGCCTCAGGATCGCTTTAAATGTAGGATTCAGAGGGTGTATTTATAAATTCAGATTTAATATGCTGCTATATCTTTATTGATTGTGCTTTGGTGCTCACTGTGTCCATAAAATGAACTCTATGGTTGGATTGTAGAGAATCTAATCTTTCTAATGATGTCTTACATGTCTCTATTGGTCAATTCTTACCATTATTTCCATGCATTCCGACTTGTTAGATGGAAATATATCAAACCACCAGCAGGTGAACCGGTGGATTTTAAGAGAACAATTTCTAAAACAATCCTTTAATTGTAGCTTCTAAACAATAAATATAATTATCTACATGTTAGCTACAAAGGGAGATGGGATTTGTCTGCAGTTTATAAACTAAATCTAATCCATAACTTGGTGAATTTATATAACCTGTTCTATTGTTTCATCCTCCTGCACTCGCAGACAGCCCAACATATTTTATAGTTTTCCCAGCAGGCTGCTTATCCCCACTGATGCTGCTCAGTCAGTGATCTGCCTCTTCAGACTCACGTCTGTATTCTAGATCACTTCTGATTCCTGCAGGAGGAGAAATGGCTGTAAAGTGTTTGGCAAAGAGCAGTGTGGATGAGTGGAGTCCATCTCTATCCAACCATTACAGCAACACACAGAGTACAGTTTTAATCCAAGTAAAACCTGCGTACAGTTGGATGTGCAATTTATAGCATTTAAAAGCAGAACATGTTCAATGAGAGGAAAAAATATTTAGACAATCAGGATAATCAAACGTTTGGAAAGCTCTCATTTTAAATATCATAAATACATGTGTTTTTAGGCTTTTAATTATTAACTATCAATTAAAAACACTTTATAACAGTCTCTGTTTCACTGAGTATAATAAATTCAAACCAAGTCAATTCATTGTAAACATTTTTTGTTTAATGCTGAATATTTTACAGCAAAGTTTATATGGGTGAAATAAAATACAGGATTATAAGTATACTCCTTTCCTTCCTAATAACTATTAGATCCCCCTCATATCTGACCTGGCGGTGAATGGTGAATTCCTACTGATACCAGCAATCTTCTCAGCATTAAACACTCTTTGGCTGTAAAGCTTTTTCTGACTGTTGTGGCTCTGAGAGGAACCAGGAACTCTGACTGTGAGCTCACATCTACAGAACCAGAACCAAAGGCTGGGTCCAAAGTTCCCTCCAAGGAAACAAAGGCTTTAGCTTTCTGCTTCTCAGTCTGTCAGTCTGAGTTAAACTGGTAGAAAATAAAACATGGTTTGTTTCCTGTCAAGCCAAAGAATTAAAGCTCAGAAGATCCTGTAGTCAGAAAGTCTATTTCCCATCACATCTCTTCTGATATTGGTTCATGAATGGTGATTTTTATTTTCTTACTTTTTAAAAGTTTTCATTCCGTCTCACGCCTGCAAGGCTACAGTGTGTGTGTGAGAGGGGTTGTTTAGTTCTGTTAGGGGCTGTTTAAAATAGAGGCCAGACTTCTTTAGACTCAAGGTTTATTCAGCATTTTACTGTTATCTTCCATCATCTGTAACTTAACTGTATGCAGAGACCTTCACGGCTCTTTGCAGGCTTTAAGCTAGTTATAAAATCCTTGTCTGAACCAGAACAGGGCAGAACATCGAGCTGTGAGGGATGCTATGATTGTCCACAGAGGGAGAAAACCCACTCAGAGGCTCTAAGAGGAAACCAGAGGAATGAGGAGTTCACACCCAGATTCTTCTCTTTGCTCTGATTTCCATGGAAACTGGAGTCTGAACCTGACTGGACCGGTTTGTCCTGATCTTATCCTAACTGTCTCACCTGAGGCTCTGCCCCTTTTTACAGGACAGGTGAGAAGAGGTGAATCTGCTCATCTTTTAATTTACAGGAACCTGAGCTCTAAATCCCCAAGTTCACATTGAACCTGAAATGTTTTCGTTGTGTTTGAAACATTTTTCTGGAGTTTTACTTGTTATTTCATTGAATGAACTCGAAAAATAGAAAATGAATCAACAGTTTTTCATTCAGGAGCTTTAAACAGTTAATGAATTCTTACTGTGATTTAACCAATCCTCTTCCAGTTCTGTGGTTCTGATGGTTCTAGATATTTACTGGGTTACAGACTGTAGGACTAAATCAAAGCAGTGGGTGGGGCTAATCATCTGAAATATTTTGGTTCTGTTCTGACTCCTTCCCTCTGGTGTCCACTGGGCTGATGGTACCGGCCCAGACTGGACTGTAGGAGCCTGCATGCTGAGGCTAACTGGGAGCACTGGGCTCATAGGGGACCAGATGCTGCAGCCGTACAGAATCCAAGGAAAGCAGAAAACAGCAGGAAGCTCCTGGTATTTCAGAGAACAGCTTTTTTCAGATCAGATTTTTCTGTTTCAGCTTTTATTCAGCAGCTAAATCAGAATCTGCAGACTTCAGAGTTTGATCCTGGAAACCAGTTCTCCCAGTTCAGCCCAATGGTTCATCTACAAAGAAAAATGTCTTGGATTTTGGAAAAACCTTTAGAAGCAACAACTTTAGACTCAATCTGGTTCCAAGAAAGTAACCTGGCCCAAATTTTAACACCATTACTAAAGCTTACAACTATTACCTCATCTACCTTAATGTTTGTAGAGTTCCCCACCAGGCCGAGATCTGGACTTTGATTTCTGAGCCTTTTATGAAACAGATTAGCTGTTCAGATGACAACAGGATAAACACATGACATCTCCAAATGAACAGTTACTGAACTACTTTGTTAAATCAATACATAATATTCCAGTTCTGGAGCATCAATTCCAAAAGTTTGGGTTGCAAATAAATACATTTGGGGTCTTTGGTTACAGAAATGAAACTAAACAATAAGAATGTTGATGATCCCTTCGAAACAGACAAAACCAAAACACTTTAGTTACTGCTATTTTTTTTTCCACTTTACAAGGTTAATGTTTGTATTACAATCAATGGTTTGGGCCATGAGTGCCTTCAAGTAGTTTTTTTGTTTTAGTCTTGAAATTGAAAAGTGGGGCTTTCTGATCCAGGGTAGGAAAAGCTCATCCAGTGTGTTCCTGTATTGCCATCTGGTGGACAAAGTTGGATAATGCAGCAACAGAGCTGCCCTACAACCTGAGATGGAACAAAAATAGTTGTCTTTATGGAAAACTCCTCTTCTTCTCCTTTCCTCCTCCTCCTCCTGCTCCTCCTCCCCCTCCTCTTCCTCCTTCCAATCTTCCTGGAAGGCCTTCAGAGTTAAGGTCAAGTCACTGCAAAAAATGGAGACCTTACCTCATATTCATGACAGGGAGGGAGATATAGTGATGTGATCCAGTAATCAGTATCTCATTTCCAGTGGTGGACAAAGTACTCAACAATGAGTAAAAGTAATACTCCTGGTCAAATCTTACTCAAAGTATAATATTTGGTTTTTCAATCTGTGTCTGGATCCAACAGAATGTGCAAATACACTATAATGTCTGACAGCTCATGAAGCAGGGGTTGGAACTGCTGCCTTAGAGGAAGAAGGCTCTGGGTTCGAGTCCTGGCCTGGGGTCTTTTTGGATGGAGTTTGCATGTTTTTCCTGTGTATGCGTGGATTCTCTCCAGGTACTCTGGCTTCCTCCCACTGTCCAAAAACATGACGGTTAGGTTAATTGGCTAAATTTTCCTTAGGTGTGATTGTGTGCGTGAATGGTTGTTTGTCTCTTTGTTTCCCTGTGATGGACTACTGGCCTGTCAAGACTGTACCCCGCCTCTTTGTAGACAGCTGGAGATAGGCACCACTACCCCTTTTACATTTAAAATAATTCAACAAAACAATAAAACAATTCATACAATACAATTATTAAAACAAATTCATTGTATTATTTCAAGTGCTCTAATCTTAAATCTAATATCTAATTATCTTATTTAAGAGTAAAAATATTGATCAATTGGGAAATTTACATAACATGTAACATTTGACATTTAATAATTATTCCTTTTGAATTATAACATTGGAAGGCCTGGCAGTGAGGCAGAGGTTAAGCACAGATCCCATGAACAGAGGCTTTGGTCTCCATGCAGCTGTTGCAGGTTCGAGTCCCAGCCTGGTGACCTTCATGTCTTCTCTCTCTAATCCCATTTCCTGTCTGCCTACTTAAAAAAAAACCCAATGAAATAAAGGCAAGTTTATTTATGGAGCAAAATTCAAATTGCTTCATAATTTAAACAATTAATGAAAATAAAAGCAAGTAAAGA